TACAAGAAGTAATTAATTTATAAAAGCGTTGATTTAATAAATAGTCAAATTGTATTTTAGAAAAAAACTCGAGAAAAATGTCTATAACTGTTCAATACTGTGTTGGATTTGGCTAAATTTGTATTAAATTTTATTGGTTTAGCAGATAAATCTGTATAAATAGAAGTTAAAAAAAACTCGAGAAAATTGCCTGACTGTCCAATATTGTGTTGGATTTGGCTAAAATTATATTAAATTTTATTGGTTTAGCAGATAAATCTGCATAAATAGAAGTTAAAAAAAAACTCGAGAAAAATGTCTAACTGTCCAATTCTATGTTGGTTTTGGCTAAACTTACATTAAATTATATTGGTTTAGCATATAAATCTATGTAAATAGAAGTAAAAAAACTAAAAAAATTGCTTTAACTGTCCAATACTGTGTTGGTTTTGGCTAAACTTACATTAAATTATATTGGTTTAGCATATAAATCTGTGTAAATAGAAGTAAAAAAACTCAAAAAATTGCTTTAACTGTCCAATACTGTGTTGGTTTTGGCTAAACTTATATTAAATTTTATCGGTTTAGCAGATAAATTTGTGTAAATAGAAGTTAAAAAAAACGAGAAAAATGTCTAACTGTCCAATGCTGTGTTGGATTTGGCTAAAATTATATTACATTTTATTGGTTTAGCAGATAAATCGATATAAATAGAAGCAAAAAAAAAAGAAACTCGAGAAAAATGTCTATAATGTCAAATACTGCATTGGATTTGACTAAACTTATATTAAATTATATTGGATTAGCAGATAAATCTGTGTAAATAGAAGTAAAAAAAAAAGTCTTTAACTGTCCAATACTGTGTTGGATTTGGCTAAACTTATATTAAATTTTATTGGTTTAGCGGATAAATCTGTACAAATAGAAGTCAATTTTTTCAATTTGACCGGACATTTGATGACGATTTGATTTTTTATTGTTGCTGGTTTTTAAAAAACATGGATCTTTTATTTCCCTCTTGAAATAATGCTACGATCATTATTTTTTATACGAGTTATTTCTATGTTTTGCACAGTTTGAAGTTTGTTAAATTACATATATTTAAATGGTTTGACGTATTTACTAGGAAAATTTGTACGGTTGATTTAATTTTTTTTTTAAATTGAGCCACTTCAGAGAAAAATCTTCAAAAATAATCCAAGTACTTGGATCTTTGTTTATTTTTGTCTTTGTTATTTTTATGAATAGCATAGTTTGAAGATGATAGACTTGCAAGAGATACTGTGACTTTTTTCACGTTGGCCGGTTGGTTAGCGCGATTGTGGGTTCGAATCCCGGCACATTCAACGGAATTTTAATTAGTAATATGTAAAAGGCATTGTAAAGAGATTTGACCATTCGTCCCGGACACCCAGACAAAAATATGAAAGTTAAGTTCCGTTTGTATACGCTTACAACTTCAGACGGTTTTGTACAATATTCTTTTTTTCCTGAAAAATCAACGATTTGCCGATTTTCACTGGGAAAATCCGTTTCAATCGAGTTTTAAAGGAGTTTGTTTGATTGAGTCGCATAGCACGTGGTACCAGCTGCTTTGGTGTACCTCGAGTGGTTCATTTAAATATGAGCTTTGTGCCTGCCGCGTGCCCGGGACCCCCGGAAAAAAAATCCACGTGTCAAAGTAGAAGGACCGGGGGTTGAATTTATTTTGCATAATTCATTTCGCCCGCAGAACACACGTAAACACAAAAAAAAAAAACTTTTCGGCCACTTTCTCTTCGACGCCCTCACGCGAAAGTACGTGAAAACGGTTCTGTTCTCCGCGGATTTCGACGTAGCACGAAACTTTTTTTTTCCCGAGGAATTTATCCAAGCTGTCATCACCGCTTTCCGGTTATAGACAAAAGCACAGGGGAGACAATGAGAGGAAGCCTGGTTTTATGATTTAATTATTAAGTTCCTTCCTGGTTTTGGTTTTTGATGAAATGAACAAAGTCGAGGAGCAACGCACTCTCGGTGATTTGAACGAACTGGTCGCAACGATGAAACAGAAGAGATAAGGCTTTACTGGAACTTGACATGCTTAGCGATATCGGTCTTAGTTTAAAGTGAAGTTTGACTTAGAAAAAACTGCACCTTTGGAAAAAGTTTCTTATTGATAATATAAAACATTGGGTGAATTGATCAAAGCTTTGAAGATTTTGTAAAAAAAAAAAACTTTTACCACGGCTTTTCGTTCAAATTAAAACATGGGGTTAAAAAAAGCTGCCTATTTGTTTTGTTTTTTTCACATCCGTTCTTTGGTTTTTCGCGGATTTCCATCTTCCGCCATTTTACGCTTTCAGGGGTGGTTTTTCGGGCGGCGTTCGGAGGCGGAATGAACCCGGCTCGGTGGTATGCGCAAGCCTAGCCACCCCCGCGCGAGGACACACCCCTAGCTGGCAATCGGAAAGGGGCGAAATTCCATTACGACGTTTTCCGGGAGGGTGGGCCCGGGGTGGGGAAAAAAAGGGAAAACGGTTTTTATACGTCCAAGGAAAAAAAAATCGCAAATTCAAAAAAAAACCCAAGGTGTACTTGTCCTCCTTTTTTACATATAACCTCGGTTTACAGATTCAGAAAAGGTTAAAACCGCAAAACAACCACCCCTAAATCGACGTTCGAAATAGGACAGCCAGACCAAACAAAATTTAAGCCTGTTTTCACTAGACCGCCCAAGGGGCTGGGGTGGTAGACGCGCATTTCCGGAAATTGCGGTCGTAAACAATACCGAAGAAAACCGTTTTCAGGTAGCCCATCAATATTGAACCAACCATGAAAAACCGTCTCGATGAAGTAAAACCGGATTGAAAATTACAGAAATACAAAAAAAAAATCACATTCTGCTCGGATGTAGTCGCCAAAGTTGACTTGGTCATAACAGAGCGATTTAAATTTTAATAAATACATCGAAAATACAACAATTTGATCGTCATAATAATTTTCTTTATACGTATTTAACATTAAAAAAATACGTTAGAAGAAAATCTATTGGCCAAATCTGACATCCAAAATGTATCAGCATGAGCGATTTTCCCCCGATGTATTTTAAATTATAATATCAACAAACCAAAGTAAATTAACAAACATTCAAACGGTTTTTTAATACTTAATATCTGATTTAAAGAAAAAAACAATTAAAATGATTACAACGGATTAGGGCTTAAATCCGTATCATCAAGTCTATCGAAATCGTTCAGGTCTTTCTTGAGAAAAACCGGTCTTGGATTTTTTTTTTCATATCGCCTTTGAACAGTCTCTATGGCATGAATTTGAGGTACAATAACTAGCAATCTTGACTCAAAATTTAAAATTCAATTTTTTTGTCTTTACATTGAACAAGACGCGTTTTTATCCACGAAGAGACACTTTGTCAGATCTTGTTTACGTCAATTCAACAACTAAGGACGGGACTTATTCTTAAATCAATCAGTTATCATATTTCAAAAAAAAGAAGAAAAAAAATTTAAAAAAATTATGAATCATGGCTATAATTTTTTGGATAAGGTTGAGATTTTCCGCCAAAGTTTTGATTATCATCATCAAAAAACTTTTTTTTCATTAAATCGAGATACGCGGATTTCTCAATATTTACATTATAATTTTGAATTAATTTGTGATTTTCGATCAGACTTCGGACACGTTGATAGCGCTAATTGGCCACTGAGGACTTGGGGGCAAAACAAGATGCTTAAGATTTTCACGGTACTTCTTGAACGTTCAGCTCGCTTTGGCTAATTCTGACGTACAAAATAGATAATTTTGATATTTTATATATTCGTCAATATAAAACCAGGTTTGTCTTCACCGAAATTCTTATCAGGGTGGATACAGTAAAGTTTAAAGCGTATTGTTACGCTTCTCGTCATGATCACAAGATCGGATATTTTTTTTAAATTCTCATATCTCATCGAGTTTTCCGATATTTCGCGTACTTAACGGAAAATCGGTGGTCTCCGGTCATCCGGGTCCGGCTGTCCTCGTTGGTTTCGGGTCAGACAGACCGCCGTGTCCGACGAAACCGAACCAGAACGATCCGGTGTACACTCGCCAAACCGGGAAATCTGATCAAAATCACTGAGCTTTTATAAATTGACGTGTTTTTTGGTTTCTTTCGATCAGGTTTTAACGCCAAAAAAAGCTTTTCCCGTCAGAACTGTTACTTAAAGGCGCATTTTCGTTCCTGCCAGGAAAAAAATGGACAGGTCATTCCTTCCAGGTAAAATCGAATTTGTTTTAACTTTAAGCGTATTTAATGCCCATAATCGCCTAGCCATACATCACGATATTTGGAATTTTCTTAAGTATTCAACAGCCGTCAGAGGTCATCGCGGTCCCGTATTCGCAGGTCTACCCGGAACCTGAAGAACCGAACGGTTACCTCTCGGTAAAATTCCAACGACCACTTCAGCTTTTGGATATTTGGACGCAAATTTAAACCGTCTTCCGGTCGTACGGGTCCGCCTGTCTTCGCTGTCTCTACGTGGCCGCGTCCTACAAGAACGATCTTATCTCCCCGTAGAGATCTAATCAAGACTCAAGAGGACCCTTTAGTACAATTTATGGTTTTTTGAACTATTTCTTCAACGACTTTTATTGTTTACGTTCGCGTTTATTTTAATTTAATGTTGTTTTTTATTTTTAACTCGGTTGACAACCGTCATCCAGGTCCGCCTATCATCTTGCCATGTCCAGCAGGAGTACCGAACACGGGGAAAAATTTAGAAACACGTTAGCTTTTTTTGCACGAGGTAAAATTCGACTTAACTTTTAGGATATTTTTATATTTTAAAGTATAGCTGATGACCGGTCATCCAGGTCTGTGGCTGACTTTAGCCTACCAGGAACGTTTTATGTATTTTCCTATTTCCGGGGATTTTCAAAGGGTTTTTTGTCAGACCTTACGTTGCACCCGTGAAAAAGTTTAATTACAAAGGGACTTTTAGGAAAGTAACTTTAAAAAGTAAGTAGTGTTCGCCTACCTTCTTGCATTCCATTGTGCTCCTCCAAACTTTGTGCTTCACTTTTTTTCTTATTTTTTTATATGCGTCTACCCTCTGCCGAAGAAGACGGAACGATCACAGTTTTAAAATGCAGGATGTAAACAAGAGATCGCCGGCGAAAAACTGGGGGCAGAACCATATAAAATATCGTGTCACCGTTGATTCCTTATGTGGGCAAAGGCTTGCGGGGAAAAAACTCACGTTGTGAACAACAGAAAACTCGACGCGAAATAACGTAAAACGTAGAACGGAGAAATGAATCGAAAAAGCAAAAAATAAAAAATAAAAAAAAACACAAAATCACACACTATCTATATCACAATTTTGTCTGAGCTGTCCTCGCGTTTGGTCTTGTCGCCTCTTGCTTCTCTCTCCCCACACAAAGAATGTTTACGCAACGAGGTCTTGTGTGTTACTGACTGCCGACGGGGTGGGGGCCCGAGGAGGGCGCCCTGGTGGGGGGTGGGTCGCGTGGAGGGGGTCACAGGCGAAGGGGGAGTGGCTATTTTGCATACCCCCACTACACGGCCCGCCGATCCCCTCCGCGACGGGGCGGTAATTATCAAGAAGCCACCCCCTCCGAACTCTTCTCTTTCCTTCTTCATCCCTTATTTTTTCCCCCCCAGCCGCCCTTTGCACAGAAATTAAACTTTCTTCTTTTATAAAAGGGAAATCCTTTTTCTTTACCGCCCTCCTCTTAGGGGGGCAATTTCTTTACTTCTTACATCAATTTTTACAACTATTCTGAACGCTAAATTTATCACTCAGTTCACCTGAATCCTCATCGGAATGATAAACTGGACGATAATTTGTCTCATTCAAAAAATAAAAGTAGACACTCCTTTCTCTTTAAAAGAAAATTATTTTGTTTATCAATAAACTTTTGTATATCAATTTTATGATTACAACATAAAAATTTAGCACTTAAAATTGTCATAGTTCTGAGGAGGAAGCCTGAAGGCTACGAACATGCATTAAATGTAAATCTATAAAGACCAATTGTTTTCGTTCAACAATAGGATTTACATCAAAGAAACAAACACTATTTATTTGAAAGCCGCGAAAAAACGAAGAAAAAACTTCTAAGTCCTACTTGGTGCTTGGTAGGTACTTTAGCTGCGTGAAAAATAGACAAATTATCTAGCCTAATTTCCACAAAGGTCTGGTTGAGCAATTGCAAACATAATTTCAATATTGCACTAAATCGAACAATTTAATTTAAATTTAGAATTTAAATAAAAAATCTCAAATAATGAAATTTAAATGCGGTGGTAAGGTGAGGAGCTCTAGCTTCTTATAGATAGAGCAATACAGAGAGAGAGAGAGAGAGAGAGAGAGAGAGAGAGAGAGAGAGAGAGAGAGAGAGAGAGAGAGATAGAGTGAGAGAGAGTCAATGAGTGAGAAGATATATCACATGGATAAATGTTTCTATACTCTTACTTTCTGGCGGTATTTTCTCAATTTCTTTTATCCTTTTTACCTTCGTCAAGTTCATTGTTGGTCGTCTTTGAGCTTTTTTAAAAAACCCTCTCAAACTTTTGTGTATGTAATTTAGTCCAACGAGCTTTTAGGTGTTCCCGAATGTAGAAAAAGGTCGGTCGTAGGGTGTCGAACTTTGGGTCCTTATAGAAAGCGAGAAGGCATGCCGTATGAATAAATGCTTTTGAACTTTCCCCTTGTTGGTTGTATTTTCTCTTTTACTCTTACTCTTTTCTGATTTGGTTGAATCTTTATTGGCAGATTGTGAAAAAAAAAAACTCAAATTTGTGTCTGTAATTTACTCTAAAGACGGTAGAGTGTCGAGCTTCGTTTCCATATAGAAAGCCGAATGGATGAGAATGACCTTAACTCAGATTTGTTAACTTTGGTCTTATTATCTGTCTTTTTCCTTTTCTTTTATTGTTTTCAACTTTTCCAGGTTCATTATAAGTCTGTCTGCTTTCTAAAAAAATCTCAAATTTTTGTGCATGTAATTTAGTCTAAAATGGTTCTAAATGTCCCTGAATGTGGGTAAATATCGGTGGTATGGTGTCGAGCTTGGGTTGATTTTTCTTTTCTAATGTTTGCTGTATTTTGTTTCCTCTTTTCAGCTTTAGTAGGATTGTTTTTGGTAGTATGTGATTTTTATTTTTTTAAATCGCAAGTTTGTATGTTCTTAATTTGGTTCAATGTGCTCCTAGGTGTCCTCCAAAGTTGATAAAGATCGGTAATAAAGTGAGAGTTGTTGGTTCCTTATAGAGAGCGTGTAGTCGTGCCATATGAATGAGGGAGACCTTGTTCTTCAACACAGACCTTTTTCTTTACAAAGCTTGTGTTTTGAACGAACGAAATTTTCAATTTGAATTCAAGGAAATTTTATCGAAATTTATTAGCGTGAGTTCGACCGTGCAGTTTCTGTCTGACTGGTCAAAAAATACACTCGATTTAACCTGATTTTTCGTGTAATTTGCTATCTTTGAAATATTCTTACATCCTTTCCGTTCATTCTGGTCCGCCTGAATTCGCTGTTACAACTCTTTCCTATTTGCTAAAAACAGAATCTGCCCGTCTTCCACGGCCAGCCGGCCCAACTTTCCACCAGGTGTTACACTTCTCCAAACCGCGTATCAAATTTTTTTTAAAAAGATTTACGCAAGTTTTTTAATGCTACTGTTCATATGAGACCTTCTCTTAAGTACTCAGAATTACTTTTTGAATTTAAGCCTAATAAACATTTATCGATGATCAATTTGATCCTTATTTTTTCAAATTCGTTATCTCAACTTTTGTTATTTTTTAAATAGGACGCTAATGAGTAACTACGTGAAGCATTTTCGTTTCCAAATTGATGTTTCTAATAACCCTATTATTTTATTCTAATTACATTATTTTATTCGCTAAGGTAATTGGTAACCATTAATTATGGCTTATTTGTGAATTCCTTAGCGCAGAAATAAAATTTTCCTTCGAATTTCAACGTTCGTACAAATTTCTAATAAATTCACTTTACAATTAGATGTTGATGAAGTTTGGTGGATTATTTGGAAATATGCTGGGGTTTTATCAACGAGTTTTCTTTTCGTTGGGTTCACGCAGTTTTGTATCAATAGTTGGGGGGGGGGCACCTAGAAGCACATAGGACTAAATTACACATACACAAACATGAGATTTTTAAAACAAAATTCACAGACAAACAATTACGATCCAGCCAGAGCTAAAAATAACGAAAGAAAAACAGATCTAGCTCTCTATGAGGAACCAAAGCTCGACAATCGACCATTGAACTTTATTCATATTCGAGGACACCTATGTGACTTTTTAAAGTCCAAAGACGGCCAATAATGAACCATCGAAATACGAAAAGAATTAAATTTTAAAAAAATACAACCAAGAAGAGTAAAGTAGAAAAACACTTTCCCATATCAAAGGGGAATCATTCTCATCCATGTGGCTTTCTACTCGCTCTCTATAAGGAACCAAATCGCCTCACCATTCCACCGACTTTTATTCTCGTTGGGGACACCACAATACATACAAATTTGAAATTTTTTTCAATCACAGTGAATCAATTTTTAAAAGCTGAACAGAATAAAAGAAAAGGAGAAAAGAAATCCAATAAGGGTAAAACGTCAAAACATTTTCCTACATCAAGATAATACCAATTGATATGTAATGCCTATCCGATCTCTGTAAGAAACCAAAAGTCCTGACGATACCACCGACTTGTATCCTCGTTGGGAGACACCACAGTACACACACAATTTTTTTTTTCAATCACAGTGAATCAATAATGATTCTTTAAAAGTTGAAAAGACTACAATAGAAGGGGAAAACGCATCCAGTAAGGGTAAAATGTCAAAACAGAATAAAGGAGAAAAGAGATCCAATAAAGGGCAAAACGCCCAAACACTTCTGTACATCAAGATCGTACTAGTTGATACGGCACCTATTCGATCTCTATAAGGAACCAAGGGACACCGTATCTTTATACTCGTTGGGTGACCCGTAAAACCATTTTGGACTAAATTACAAACATCAAATTCGAGATTATTTTGTCTTCTATTTAACAAACCGTGAACAATGACACTGAATTTTTTTATAAAAATAAAAGACGACCAATAATGCTAAGTATAAAAATACTTTCCCATATAAAAGTTATCCTTTTTTTAAATTATGGTCCTAGTTTGATGTTGTAATGGGCTAGGGAGAACGTACGGACCAGGACGATCCGAAATGTAAAACTTCCGGTTTATCACCTCGCAGGGCTCTAGAAAAGATCCCACACATTCTTTCTTTACATTGAAAAGCGCTATTTTGCCCAACGGTACATTTTGAACAAATCCAATGGGGGACAGGAGCCGTAATGTGTTAACGAACTTACTACGACTATTGAGGCCGTTCCTACGATCATAATGGGTTTAACCGGGGATTATAATACGTCCTGTGTATACATTTGCGGCTGCATTTTCCGGACACAGATGTGGCGTTACTCACCACATAATGAGGGCTAATTGGGCCCCCACCCTTATAGTTGGCCTAAAATCGATAACTAACCCTAGAAAAAGGGCCGTGGGGGGAAAAGTAATGATCAAGCCACGAATTCCGATATTTATTCCGACGTCTCACTTATTTTCATCTTTTTACAGAGTTATACGCGAATCTTTATAAAGATTTTTGCACTTTGGGGATTTTTCTGTTAAGTAAGTAAGAGAACTTAAAAGTTCCTCATGGACGGATAATCTGGCATTGGCACCTGCTTTGCTCCGGGAAAATCGAATTAAAATGACAAAGTGGTAATGACACGAGCTGAGGAATCCGTCGTTTTTTAATACCGGCTTCGCCCTTGCTGCCTGAATAATGAGTACACCTGAGGGACGTTTACCATATTCATAGGTATCACGTGTGCCGGGCACACTATGCTAATGTCCCTGATCGATGTTCCAACCCCGAAAAATTAGAGGAAAAACGAACGAGTGGAGTTTTTCCAGTTCAAGGATTCAATAACAAACCGGAGGAAATTAGAATGTGGACAGATTTCAAAAGTGGCGAGCCTAAGTTTCAAAGATCGCCTTTGGCATGCTATTACTAACTTTTTCACATATTTTTTTGCTTTTAAGCTAGTAATTTGCCATTAAGGAAGATCGCTCATATAAAAATGAGCGAAATATGTCTAGACTATTCTACTTTTCAGAAACTTTGGTTCTAAAAAAGTTCCGAACACTAGAAAAACTTCGTCTTGAGTCGAAAGGCCGTAGGATTTCTCTTACAATTCCTACAACTTCTTTAACCCCTTCGAATATTTTTACCCGCGAATTTCCTACTTTGGACGAATAATCTGACAAATAAAGTAGCGATTTGAAAAATCTGAAGACGCTTCTTTGATGATGTCATTAATGTTCGGAAAAAGGAGAAGGAGTCCTGAT